ATTTAGAATCAATTTTAAGATCTTACTGATTACATATAAGGCACTTCATGACCTTGCCCCCAGTTACATTTCCGATGTCCTTGTTCCTCATTCCACTCCTCGGCCACTTGCTGCTCAAATCTCGGCCTTTTATCGATTCCCCGCCCGATCTGTAAAACTAAAGCTGACCGTGCCTTTGCTGTTTTAGCCCCAACATTGGAATAGTCTTCCCCATTGACTCAGATTCACCACTGATCTGATGGACAGTTATTAAGCGGCTTGCTCAAAACCCACCTCTACAGGACAAGCCTTTATTAAGATATCCTTGTTAGTTTTTCTCATCTGTCCGTGTCTCTTTTAATTTATCACCTTCCTTTTTGTTGTTTTATCTTCCTTTGTTTTTTTTTTGTGTGTGGATTGTTATGTTTAATTTTTTGTTGTTTGAAAAAGCACTTTGGATTCATCTGTGTCAAAAAAAGGTGTATGTAAATAAAGTTTTTTACTTACTTTACTTACTTACTTACTAATTTAGAAAATAGTTTTTTTTGCTATCAGTCTTCATCAGTTAACTTCAGTAATTTCTACATCAAAGCCATCACATTACTAACCTGTCTTGTTAGATCAATCCCAAATAGGCATGCTTTTAAAGAAGTGGTACTTAAATTGCACTTCTTTACTAGATAATGATTAATTCTTTCGTTATTATCAGGTATGTAACACAGTCTGAGTTAAAAAAGTAGCTAGTAATATAAACCCCTTCTTAAAAAGCCACTCTCCGAGCCCAGGGGTTTTAGCCACTATAGACGATTTCTAACCACTTTCCTCTCATAGATTCTAGGATAAAATATAATAATAGTCTTGTCATTAACAGATTGTGTGACTTTCTTACATAGCAATAATTTTACTTTGAGGATTCAGTCTCAGGATTATAGAGTTTCATCAGCAGCACGAAGACAGTCTGGTAATAGTATAGCAATGAACTTTTGAATTGCTTCTGCAATGGACTTGTATTGATTAGATCTTAGTGATGCATTTGACCCATTTGACCATAATATTCTTTTACCAGAAAGACTTTGAGCATAACAAAAATTGGCATAAGGAACCAGCACTAGCTGGTTTTAGGTCACTATTTATCAGAAAAAAAAAAAAAAAAAAAAACTTCAGGTTTCACAGTTTGTACTGTTAACTGATTGAATCTTTCAAATTAAATACTAAAGTTGTCATGGAGTTCCACAAGGGTTTATACTTGGACCAATACTATTTACTATTATAATATGATCCTTCTTTTTAAAGGCAAATTATTAGGAATCCACCAATTTAAACTCTTCTTAACCATTTTGCTATGCGCAGATGATACGGCAAGTTATACCTCTATTCGATCAAAGCCGGATGAAATTAATCAAGTATACTAAATTCACAAACATGTCTTTAGGACAAATAAAAATCCTGAGATGAGCTGCAATTTTCTGATGTTTAAACTTCAAGAAGAAAAAACTAATTTCTTATACTTGGCCCCAAAACCTCCAGAGACTAACCTGTCTAAAGATTACTATCTAGATGGCATTACTTTGGCCTCTAGTGCCACTGTCATCTTTTGGAG